CCCGTGCTCAGCTACAATCGAGAACACCAAACATCACTGCATCATCTTAGCTGCACAATGGACAAAACCCAGCAATCCTGCTACTCACCATTCTCCTAAGAATGCTCGGGCCACGCACTTTGGCCAGGCTAGGAGGCTGCCACCGTCATCGCAGGGTCTGCCTGGGTTAAGAAGAGACAAAGTGATGCGGCATTACTGAAACCTAAGAGGACCTTGCCTCCCCCTCCCTACCTCGGCGACTCACTGCAACTCCTCAGCCCTTGCCAAAGGCTACCTGGATGCCATCTTTAAATACAAAATTTCAAGGCTTCATCTCAGAGTCCTGTAATATTTCCAGAGGGCTCACAAGCACAGGAAATCCAGGCCATCGGCTGTCGGTCACAAAGGCTTGGCATACTCTGAGTGGATTCCCTAAAGCACACAAACAAGAATGGATGCTTACAGTTGAATCAAAAACTAAAAGCTGAGCAAAAACAACTGCTTTGGTCCACGGCTCACCTGGCACACTTGGCCTTGACTGGTGCTATCTACCTGGACCTCCTAAAAATAAAGGTAAAGAGCACCGCTGTAATACGGTCACCATTTAGGCTCCCCCTGCAAATGCAAACAATGACTGACCTGCTCATGGAAACACCCTCCCCCAGGACTGGGGCCCTCTGCCACCGATTTGAACTGCCTGCATCTGAAAGGAAATTAGGACTAATGTCAAACAGCTGCAGGACAACTTAGCATCACCAAACATGTTATGGCAACCTCCTGATACAATTTAGAGCCCAACTACACCGGGCATTACAAATTTCAAGTCCCCAGGACTTGTGCTATTACAGGCTATGCAACAGGACAGAGCAGCTCCAGGAAAAATATGTGCAGACACCTGTGACACAGGACAGGGACAGAAAGCTTTTGAGGAGAAGAAAGGACTGAGAGACCCAAAGAACATAGAGTGCACCGGAGACAAGTGACAGGACACACGCCAACACTGCTCTGCCCTGAGCACCTCAGCACTGAGATCAAAACAGACGCTTTCCCTTTAGGTGGCCTTAGGAGACGCTTCTTGGGCATCCCCATCTCCAAAATTGACTCAAAAACCCCTCCTGGGGAGTCCCAACCCAGCACCTCTCTTCCATCCCCTCTGTGGGTTGTAGCCCTACACTTATCTTGCACATATCAGGGGATGAAAATCCCCATCAGGTGCAGAAGGAAGCCACTGCTCCCATCTCCATGCCCTGGCCCTGACTTATCTTTTGGATGACTGGTGATGTGAATCCACGTTGGACCTGAAATGAGTCTGGCTCAGAGGAGATAGCCTGTTAGCCTCTTAGTCTCCTAAAATAAAGAACGGGAAAATCAACGGTTGTGTTTCATGTTATGTGGGCCGAATCTCAGCAAGTCAGTTACTTATCCTCTCCTCAGTGTGCAGGGGTGCTCAAGTCTCCGGCCTCATCCTGAGTCTAAGGTATGGCTATTATGATGAGTGGCACCGGGGTTAGAGAGACAAAGCTACATGGCATTTGTGTGAGTTCGGTGGATGAGCTTGTGTGCTGTATGACACGTGGATGCCTCTGCTATGCTTGTGAAAAGCCTTGCAGATACACACCGTTTCTCACCCTACTGCCTGCAAACCCCCACCGGGATAACTCCTAACTCAGTACCCTGCTTGCTCTCCCTCTCCTAGTCACAATCCTCAACTCACCTGAAGCCACCGTCTCACACATCACCTTCGACACAGTGCGGATGCCTTCTGCGTCATGATAAATCTGCTGGAAAAATGTTCCGCTCGACACAAACTGCAATTACTGGAAGTTACCCTCCTCCTAAAAAAAGAAGAAAAAAATCAGAAATTACAAAAGCACCTTACCAGCCCTGAATACTCAACCCCAAACTGTGAATTTAAATACTCCCTGTGTTCAACGTTGTTTTCTTTGCAGTATCTTCAAAGCCTCTGTTGCATTAGAAGCCCAAAAGCAGCTGCAGAGAACAAGCTAAGCTAAAGGAGCCTCTTCACCTGAATGAGAGGAAAGCTCTTACCCCAGCTGATCCCACTGAAGGAATGAAGCCCCTTGGGAAAGGCTGGGGTTAATATACCCCTGATTGGGCCCACCTCTCGTTCCCGTGGCACCTGGGAAAAGGGAGGGGGCAAACCCCATCGAGTATAAAAGCCATCAGAGGCACTGTGGCTGTTTGGCTCCTCTGGCTTGAATTCAAGGAGAATAAAGGGCTGGATATAGAAGAAAGCTCTTCAGGGAAATGACAGCTCTTTCTTTTTTCTACAACTGCTTGGAGCAAAAGGGCAAAAAAACTGGTAAGAAATAAAACTTTGTTTTTAGGCAGCATATCGAGATAAGTTGGGTAATTTGCTGTTAACTTATATAATTATTCCTCAATAACTACTAAGTAGTACTCAACATGAGACTAAGGGTGGAGAAAAATACTAATTATATGAACAGTTTAAGTCTCCTTGGGGCTACCAATTAGGACTAACTACATTATAAATAAAAATAAGAAAAATAATAGGCTCCTGGGCAGCATAAAGGTTAAGTACGTGCTAGGCTTGCCTTTCTCTGAGGTACTTAGTCCTAGGGCACAGAAAGAAGCGCCCTGAAAAGTAGTTTTAAATGCTGAAAAAGCATTTTAGAAGAGCCTCCTTCAAATTAATCCCTTAAAATGAAGAAATGGGGAAGTTGCCTCCACTGAAATGGATACCATGGCAAATAAATAGCTTCTGCCCTTTAACTTAATCCCCTCGAATATTGGGAAAAGAGAGGCTTTCCTCAATTTAAATCTCTCCAGTAATGAAGACGGAAGGCGGCCGAAGAGGGACAGAAAGACACAAAACGTTCTCGTGCGCACGGCGGCCGCATAGAGACAAAAAGGTTCAAATGCATTGTCGTACGGACGGCAGCCGAAGAGGGTCCGAAAGACTCAAAGCGTTCTCGTACGGACGGCGGCTGCATAGAGACAAAAAGTCTCAAATGCGTTGTGGTACGGACGGCTGCCGGAGATGGACAAAAAGTCTCAAATGCGTTCTGGTACGGACGGCGGCTGGAGAGGGACAGAAAGACTCAAATGCGTTGTGGTACGGACGGCGACCGCAGTGGGGCAAAAAGCATGAAATGCGTTGTGATACGGACGGCGGCCGTATAGGGACAGAAATACTCAAATGCATTGTGGTACGGACGGTGGCCATATAGGGACAAAAAGACTCAGATGCGTTGTGGTACGGACGGTGGCCGCATAGGGACAAAAAGACTCAAATGCGTTGTGGTACGGACGGTGGCCATATATGGACAAAAAGACTCAAATGCGTTGTGGTACGGACGGTGGTCGCATAGGGACAAAAAGACTCAAATGCGTTGTGGTACGGACGGTGGCCATATAGGAACAAAAATACTCAAATGCGTTGTGGTACGGACGGTGGCCGTATAGGGACAGAAAGGCACAAAGCGTTCTGGTACGGACGGCGGCCGGAGAGGGACAGAAAGCCTCCCTCGCCGCCACCATCCTTCTCCGGCGCCGCCGCGGAGCCGCCTTCAGCCCTCCCCTGTACTCACAGACACCGTCCCACTCGCCGCTCGCTGCCGCCCCTCGCCCCTCCCGCCCCGTCTCGGTGGTTTTGGGGTCACGCTGGCTGCGGGGCTGCAGTACCGCTCTGTGTCCACCAGGCGGCAGCACTTGTCAAGCGAGTCCGCGACAAGATGGCGGTCCGTGGGGACCTTGATGGTGACAGGCGTTTTTGCCGATGCCTGTCGGCTTCCTCCGAAAACCCGCACGCTCGCGGTGCTGCTGACCCCACAGCCCTCGTGCACGGCACCAGAAGCGCCGCGGAAAATCCCGTCGCGTGGCGCCGGCGGTGGGGGCAATTCAGGCAGTGTAGAAAACAGACACGGGTCCTCGAATTTCAACGTCCTCGTTTTTACGCCCTCTTGAGAAGGTCAAGAGAGTGCTCGCCAAGCCACTCTCAGGATGGCGGCGGCGGGCTGCAGTACTTCTTTCTGCCCACAAGGAGGCAGCACTGCGCCGTCGGCAGCGAATGCCCCAAAGCATCCCGCGCGGACAAGAACGGCAACAAAAAACCTGCCTCTGACCCGATAGGAAGCGAAAGAAAAAACCTTTGCTTTTAAACTGCATTTCAATCTATTTTATTTTTATATTTTCTTATTTCTATTCAAATTTACATTTTAAATGTAGATTGATGTGCGGTGTTATTTATAGTTTATCTCTTCCTAATACTTATTTTTATTTCTATTTTATATTTTTATATATACACCTGTATACATTGATTATATATACACCTGTATACATTGATTATACATTTCCATATTTATAAATAAAATGTATATTCATATTTTTCCATTAAAACCCTGCCTCTAACCAAATAAAACAAAAAAAAAGCCCTTTCTTTAAATGATACTTGAATATTTATATATTTTTTCATCATTATAGTCACATTTGCATTTCTACTTCATATTGGTGTCCTTATATATATATTTTATATATAATGAGGTAGCAAGTTAAATTTTTATTTAAATTCTATTTTGTACATACTGCTACTACTTATATTTACTCACCTTCGAATTTTTATATAGATCTTAACATATTTAGGATATATTTTTATACAAATATTTCTTATTCTATTTTTGTTCATAATTTTTATAATAAAACCTCTACCTACTATGAAATAGAAAATAAAATCCCCTTTATTTTAAACTATATTTAAATATTTCTTTATTTCTATTTTTGATTTTTACAGGTACTTATATATTCTATGACAATATATTGAAGTACTATATTTCAATATATAATATTTATGACACCTGCCTGCTGGTAATTTTCCTTGATGTGTGAGAATAACCAGATATTTTTTTTTTTTTTTCCAGTTATACTGAGAGCGAAAGAAATAAAGTACTATCTGTGAAGTTGTAATCATGGTTCATTTGTCAGGAGATGGAAACAGAATTTTGAGTGACATCCCTGATCAGAATGGGTTTGGGTTTTGTTTGGCAATTTCTCTGTTTCTTTTTGTTTTTCCCCTAGCAGATTTTTCTGATCCAGCCTGCCTGACACTGGGTGATACTATACATCAGCTGTGAGGCAATGTTTTTCAAAATATTACACTGATAACACAGGAATGGAGTGGAGCCTGTGATCACTGCAGATTCAATCCTACCTGGAGACAAATTGCAGCACTGCAATGTGGGAATATGCAGGGAGATGAATCAAGCCCCAGGTGTTCTTGATGGATCATATACTAATATCACGTCTATATTTCTGTAGGAAAGAAAAAGGTATGTATTCCAGTGATAGGGCATGCCTGACATCTCAGAGCTGGATTTTAATCGCTTCATTGTCCTCTCGCTCCAGTTTGACTCTGTGCTGACTTCACAGCCTGTGGCTTAGTGCAAAGGGAAAAATCAATTCTGTGCCTAGCAAGTAGAAGATTACGTGCTATAGCATGCCTGCTCAGAAGGGGCTTTTGATTTCAGCTGTCCTTTGAATTTCACAAGACAATTTGAAGTCATTTAGGATATAAATAGGAGACTTCAAGTTATTACCAGCCCCTGTTTCTGTTATTGTCCATGGATGAATTGTCACTGATTTGAGTGAGTTGGACTGTTGTATTTTGAGCATGGGTGAGTCTCCTTAACTTGAACTACAGTAGAGAGAACAATGTTTTACGTATGAAACAGTCTTACCCTGCTTCTTTCTGACCACACTCCTTATTCATAGACATTTGGCTTTGTATTCATATGTTGAATTTATTTCTCATAGTCAGAGCTGGAATGTCAAGTCTCTGACAGTCATGTAAGAATGTGAAGTAAAAAACACCAATTACCAGCCTTGCAAGAAAATGGCACTTCTGGGGCAAAATGTTGTGATCCTGCTTTTCTTTCAGCACCCAGACCTGTAATGCAATAGGGCAATTCAGTTCACTGCAATTTTCTATTGTACATGTGTGAAGACATATTTGCAATGCCAGAGGTTTGCATCCAAAAAGGAGACAGGGGAGGCCTGTAGCTCTATTCAAATAAAGTGAGAGGCCATGGGGCATTTCCCTCGGGGTCTCTCAAATTGTTGTAGAACACAGCATCCTTTTAATCCTATTTTCCTGGCCACATCTTTCCTCTCCCTTTCCCCATTGGCTGAGGTACTTGAGGGATACAGAATTCCCAAATCACCAGCTACTTGACCCCCTAATATGCACTGCCCCCTCTCTGCGCCCCCTCCCCACCCTGTTTTGTATCTCTGTTCTTTAAATTCTGGAATTTTATGTGTCTTTGATTAAGCAACATTCCTTGTCAATTAGTACCATTCCTCTGAATTTTATGGTTCCTTTCTGTTACTATCTTATCTATCAATCTCTGGTTTTACCTACAAGCAAGCTCAAACCGTCTGTAAAGACTCACTCATTCCTTTCACAGGTGACAAACCTCATCCATTTTCTACATCTGACTGGTGATGTGGCAGATTGCGCGCAAAATGCTAAAGTCATATCTGCTTTGACAAGGTTATTCAAGGAAAATTAGCTATGAAAGAATGCCTAGAATTGTTTACTTTGAAAACATCAGGCAGGGTGGCCAGCATTTAAAATGGGAATCCTTATGCCAGGTTTCACAGGCATTATAAATGTCTTTCCCTGAAGGCTGGCACAGATTACACAGGCAAGAAGGGAACACGGATAACTGTCCTCCAACACAAGAAATGAAAAAGGATTAAGGTGCATAAGCTCTGGTTTTCCCTGTGATCTAAATCCTGTTTTCTCCCTTGTTATGCTGTGTTGACCTCTCTATAAAGAAGAAAACCCTGTGTGGGTGTATTTTGCCCTTTGCCATCACCCTGCTGAGGTCTGTGGAACCGCAGCAGGTCCTTGTAACAATGACCTTCGCAGAAATGCTCAAACCTTTCTCTCACCTGAACCGTGGTCTCCCTCGCACTTTTGCCAGTGTTGAGTCTCAGGCCTTTTATGGTTTTTTCCAGCAGCCTTCAGTCAAGCATCCTCAACGAGGGCTCTCATGCTGTCCCCGGTATCTCCAGCCAGTACCAATGGTACCATGCCACTAAGTGCTCAGGGGGCCATTTTAAATGTTATTGTGGTAGTCATTGACACTAACACCGTAGATGTGACAAATGAAGTCACATGCTTAGCAAGGTGTCCGATGTCATCAAATCCTCCTGTCTCTGCCTATGCATTCTCATCAGGCAGTAAAAATTGAGACAGTCCACCTCAGGTATGAACCACAGCTTTGTTATTGAGGTGTGATAATGTAACTGTGTGTTTGGGCCCTTGAAGTCTTTAATAAAATTCCTATCGATGCAGCCATAACATAGACTCGGACACTGCGGTCTCGGGTTTCGCAAGGAGCCTCGGTGCTGTTGGAATGGGAGCACAACCATGGTCCTACAGGAGAGTGAGGAGATGGGAAGGGGAGCAGGGACCTTCTGCACAAGCTGCAGGATGTTTCTCATCTCTCTCCTCTCCTTACAGTTGGATTCTTTAATGTTCACGTGAACTTCTCTCTTCTCTACCAAATGGAGAGAGCACCTGATTGCTATGATGCAAGGAGACTTCTTGAATACTGGGTAGCTTGCTTTTCTCATTCTCATGTGTTTTTAGCAAGTATCGCATGAGGACAGCTGGTAGGATCATAGAATCTATTCCAACTTTCGGTTGGAATAGAATGGATTGGAAGGGACCTCTATAGGTCACCTAGTCCCACACCCAATGTGCAGGATGCAAACTGTTGGGACAGCACAGAAATGATCCTCCATGTAAGAGTTGCGGTGTTCCAGAGTCATGTTATTCAGTGTATAACAGGACAAATTAAAATTCTGAAGGAAGGGAAAAGCATAAAAATTTTGCAAAAAATCTT